TTTTCTAAACGTCTTAGTTGTGGTATGTGTTGTGAATTTTGTATGAAATGAGTTTGATTTTTAGCTAAAATGAAAGTTGCATGTCCATGGAAAAAGCAAAGAATCTTTCTGAATTAGATTCTCAACTGGGTGTCACCACATGTGGGTTTAGGCATCCTTCGTAACCATGATAGACAGAATATTGGTTCACCCGTATGATTTCTAGCCTGGGAGTTCATTTAGCTAGTGACAGTTCCTGATTTCATGCCCTGGTTTATATTCAGGAAATAACCCAGTGAGTTAAGAGCTCCACTAAGGCAGTTCGTGTTGCTGCTCTACCAGGTTCTTGAAGTAGATTGCAGGCGTAGTTCGTTTAACATTTTCCTGCTCAATTAACTGATTTGGCACAATATGTAGTTTACTTGGTGTTCACTTTGTTTAGCTTCAGTGTAGAGGGAAGCAAGTTTGGCAGCTAGGAATGAAGATCCTACTATGGCTAGGACTGCGAGGGGATTGAAGAGAGGCCGGTAACTCTTCCAACTATTTCTCACCCTCACCAGCTTCACCAGGTTAGCATTTAGTTACTTCGCAAAGAGAGCTGAGAAGTGAAACTTGAGCAGTAGACATGGAAAGACTTAGATTCAATGGACTTGCCAGTAAATATGGGAGTTTCCAGTTTCTTATAGCACATGGAATCACATTCTTGGCTCTGGGAGAGAGGAGAAACTGGAGAATATATTTGGCTAAGTTGCTTCTCTACTGCAAGTGCTGAGAATATACAGTTCGTTGTGTCGAAATTGTGTTGATTATGATTCTGGTTTAGTTAGGCACAAGGCACTCTGTTCTGTAAGCTATGTGGAATCGTCCCAATCATGCATATGCTATCACTTGTCTAGTTTTCTTTTGCCAAATGGGAATAAGATTCACTATTGCTCTCATGCTGCATCGATGATAAAGAGATTCGTGTTTGATATTGGAAATTGCAGGTGTGGAATGACAGCTAAGGATCAAACTTCCCCTACAGGCGATGAACCTCAGCCAATCGGGTGATTTAGCAGCAGCTGAGGAGCTGAGTGAGCAATCCCAAGTTGAATAGGATGTCCCCATTCACTCATTCGAGGTTGATTTTTGATGTTGTTCATAATGCTCTATGGATTATAAGGTTGAACATGAACTATACATGGAGGGATTTCTGAATAATCCGGCATTGAGGGATGTGATTCGTAGAGACTTCGAGTATTTTTGCACTAGTACACTATTCAAAGAGAGACGATCTGACTTTTGAATGATCGCCACATGCATTTAATTCTGTATGGACCTCAGATGTCTCAAGATTCAGCTTATACCCAAATGGACCCATTTGAGTGGACCCAATTGAATAGGTCCATTTCAAACCCAATCTAAACCCAACCCAACCTTAATAGTAAAAATAAAAATTGGGTCTATTTGGGTCCATACCCAAGACACATATGGGTCAAGGTATTTGGGTCAAAAAACCCAATGGGTTGACCCATTGTCAATCCTACCCAAATCTGCAAATGCTCTGGAGGCAGGGTGTAACACCCAACTACTTTTCTCTATTTAAACCCATTTAAAATATATGCACATCATCAATTATTTACAAAAATCGTTAACCTCTGTGTTCATAACAAAATTTTTGGAAAACATCTGCAAATGTCTCATGTAAAAAAATGTCTAGAGTTCAGTATGCCGCCCACCTCACAACCATCAAGCTCGAACTTGCTTTGTCCGATGGCGTTCGCCCATTTAGCTATTGATCTGGGGGAAAATATTGACGGGGTGAGACGTCACTCAATGAGTAAAAGCTAACCTAGTATCATAATTAATATAAGCAAGGTATTGTGCAAACACGGTTAGCATTATATCCTTCTTATTCTCGTTATACCAGTACCTTTATAACACATTCACCACTCACACATAGACATATATAGAACCAACACAAATTCAACAATAGCATCATACCCATTTAAACATCGACAATCGCCACATACACACACATATAAAAATGATTTACAACAAGCATATGCACATACAAGCATCCATTACCCATTCTGACCTAGTCATGCACCACCATCTTGTTTCCCACCTCCTCCTCGATGCTTAGGCTCCACCACCTCCGCCAACCCAAAGCCTTAGTGTCTTCCTCCCATAGTCCGGGCAATCAACACATAACCGAATATATACACAAAGTCCTTGCTGAGGACTTAACACATCATCATATTCTCCAGGTGCATGACTAACCGTTTAAGCACACATACAAAGAAACACACATTCATATCATCATATCAAATCCATAACATCATCCACATCACATGCATCACTATTATCAATAACAACATCATTGTCATCATTGATTTCATCATCATCGTTATCATCATCACGGAGGCTTTTTGTGCCTCTTTATACTCGTTTCATCATCAACATTCTTATCATGCTCCACATTGAAATCACACCACATCATCATCATCATCTTCATCTTACATACTTAAACACACATTCAACTGCACTTAACTATGATTAAATTCGCTACCTCGAGTTTAGGCCGCTTCATTACCCAAATACCATGCTCGTATTAATTAAGGTACTAGGTTAAAATTTACTCACCGTAAAATTATTTAATTGTGCCTTCTGTCTTGATATACGACTCCCCAACTTGTTATTTTCCTTCACAAGGTCGTAAAGATGCTTTAATACACACATGAAAAGTGAATATAAAGATTGCATCTAATCTACCAACCAAAATCACCAACCTAATAGTTAACCATATAATTTAAATCCATAGGGTCCATCTTCTTGTACCTCATAAATCATTTAATATCACCTCTCGTAGTTCCCGTCACATAAAATGACACTTCAACCCATACGTCCCCATCATTTTGGATCAATTTATTTAAACCCATCGTTAATTTGTCCCATAACTAATTATAACATACTTGCCTCTAAATCAAAGACAGGCCACCGTACATATACACCAAAGTAACAATAGGCCCCCATTTCACCATTCCTTTATTGCCTTAGGAACTTATGTTAATTGTGTATTACATGCAATTTATCTAATAATCCCTTAGTAGCCGTTTATCTATCCACATCCAATTTATCTAATTACATGCACATGCATGGTAAATGAACTAAGTGCTCTGAACTCCTACCACTTTCTTAACTCATGCTTGATGCTACCTCATTTCCTTCCTAATTAAATCTTGTTTGAAGCCCCATTTTCATAAGTATGGAATTAACATGAATTACATGCACATGCATGGTAAATGAACTAAGTGCTCTGAACTCCTACCACTTTCTTAACTCATGCTTGATGCTACCTCATTTCCTTCCTAATTAAATCTTGTTTGAAGCCCCATATTCATAAGTATGGAAATCTACCAAACCATAGCAATCAAGCATGAGTTACATAATACTAATACGTGTTGAATTTGGATAGCTCCCTTTTCTTGGCGGGAGTAGACTAGATTTCTACTTTTTTGGCGAGAATGACCAGGATTTCTATTTTTCTGAAATTGCTTCCTTCTTTCATTCATGGCTGGAACTTAAATACATCAAGGAAATGAAATATACCTATCTAAGTGGAACTAACTCCACACGTACTGTTGCTACTCTTTCTCCACTTAAGGTGGAGGGATTTATTCCACTAATCTAACCAACTAACAATATGAAAGACTAATTCTAAACTATGCCAAGCTACTGCTAAACAAACTACTCGTTGATCTAACGCTTGATGGTTGGTGAACTATGGCCGAATGACGTGGCCCAATTGAGGGCTTACCATAATACTGATACGTGTTGAATTTGGATAGCTCCCTTTTCTTGGCGGGAGTAGACCAGATTTCTACTTTTTTGGCGAGAATGACCAGGGTTTATATTTTTCTGAAATTGCTTCCTTCTTTCATTCATGGCTGGAACTTAAATACATCAAGGAAATGAAATATACCTATCTAAGTGGAACTAACTCCACACGTACTGCTGCTACTCTTTCTCCACTTAAGGTGGAGGGATTTATTCCACTAATCTAACCAACTAACAATATGAAAGACTAATTCTAAACTATGCCAAGCTACTGCTAAACAAACTACTCGTTGATCTAACGCTTGATGGGCTGGTGAACTATGGCCGAACGACGTGGCCCAATTGAGGGCTTACCATTACCACCCTCCTGAAAAATGGCCTTGTCCTCAAGGCCGAGCTGAATGAAGCGATCATAGAAACATGGAGGCCAACCTGCCGATAGCAACGTTGATGAAATGCGTCCGTCCAAGACCCGATTCCATCCTTGAACCATACCAATCAGTTGGCTTGATCCATAAGTCAACCTAGACAGTTGTACCAATCCGCCCATCACTTCCTTGTTTATCCCTTTTCAGCTCGTTCATCTGCTCCTTAAACGGTGCCACTCGCCTACTCCCAACTTTGATCCACGAATGGCGTTTCCTCGAAAGCTTCCATTTCCTGATCGAGACCCTCTCTGTGATCATCTCGCTGTAGGTTGAGAGACCAAATTTTGACTTATTGGGGTTATCGATCGAGGAGACCATCGACCACCTTGCCGTCTTGGGAAAGGAAGAGTCAAACTCCCTGGACTCGTTGTTGTCCTTCCCAGTGTTGGTGGTGGATTCAGCCATGTGCTTCCACTTGAAGCTCTTTTTGTAGATGCCTCCACCACAATAGTAGGAATTGATGGAGCAATTCATGGCCTCTTTGTTTGTTGGCGAAACCAACTTCCCTGTATTTGCTTGACCCTTTTCCCTTCTCTTCCACCAATAGAGAAAGTCATAATAATCACCAAACAATCCCACAAATGCTTCATAGTTGACATGGGTTTTATGCGCAAGGCTTATGAACAAGCCTCTCTTGTAGACAACTCGTTTCCCATCTTTTTCATCTCCATCTTCGCACTTCAACAATTGACCAACATCCACAGCAAAGAGATTTTCATAAAGAGTTGTGAAATTAAATTCTCTTCCACCCGAATCTATACAAAATAATTGGGTTTAGTGAATCTTGGCAATTAATTTGACCTCTCCATGAGGTGTCCCAACTTGGTCATCAACAATCAACAAATCACGGAAGCTACCTCCCTTAATTCCTCGCCACAAGTCACCCACGTCATTCCTGATACGTGGAAACAATAGTAGAGAATTAAACTCTCTTAATATTACCATGGATCCAGCCTTCTGTACCTGATCGGAAGTTGCTACAACGGGTTTGGCGGTGCTCAGGCTCCTCCCAGGTGGCAAGCGTGCAATAAACTCGATTTCTGGCGGTGTGGAATGTTTCGCGGCATCGACAAGAGGTTGTTGTGGTTTTGCGATGAGGGCGACAGGAGCAGCCAATGGAGGTGCCATGATCACCGATGGCGTGCTCTCAGCTGCAGCATGTACCTTTTGGGTTGCTACGGGTAGAATGGAGATCTCCTCCTCTTCAATGGCAGCTAGGGTCTTGACTTCCGGCGGCGATGGTCGTGTTGCTAACATGGATTTGTCATACGACGTAATCATCATGCGGCAGGTAGCCATGACACAGTCTATCTGCTTGAGTGCCTGATTGATGAGTTCCTCCTCCCTTGATGGTTTCTTTGAGCTCATTTTGATCGGATTCCGGATCAACGGCTCTGTTACCAAATGATACGTGTTGAATTTGGATAGCTCCCTTTTCTTGGCGGGAGTAGACCGGATTTCTACTTTTTTGGCGAGAATGACTAGGGTTTCTATTTTTCTGAAATTGCTTCCTTCTTTCATTCATGGCTGGAACTTAAATACATCAAGGAAATGAAATATACCTATCTAAGTGGAACTAACTTCACACGTACTGCTGCTACTCTTTCTCCACTTAAGGTGGAGGGATTTATTCCACTAATCTAACCAACTAACAATATAAAAGACTAATTCTAAACTATGCCAAGCTACTGCTAAACAAACTACTCGTTGATCTAACGCTTGATGGGCTGGTGAACTATGGCCGAACGACGTGGCCCAATTGAGGGCTTACCAAATACACTATCTAAATATGTTACATAATACTTTTAATAAATTATTCACATGATTGTACAAAGAAAACTCAAACAAAGCCCATCTCTAAAAAAGCCCACATACACAAACTCTACCAAACGAAGCGCAAATCTACCAAACCATAGCAAAGCCCAACTGCAAACTCTATCAAACCCTAGCCGCCACACCCAGATGATAGTAAATTTATGCAAGTCAACTTGCGAACCCAAGCTGGAACCCCTGTGTCGGTGGTGACGATAACGGGATCGAGTTTTTCGCCAATTCATCGTTGATCACCTGGTACCTAAAGAAGGCCGTCAAGAACCCAAAAATTAGAGTATATAAAAACAAAATCTTCATTAAGATTTCATAACTAACCAATCTCATAATCAATCACACTCTGTGCGGGGAAAAAAGAAAGCAAAATCCTTTAAGGCAGAAGGATGGATGCTTACAGTAGTTTGAGAACCCAAATTCTTGGTCCGGGTTTGAAACTACTTGGACAGTGAAACCCCAGAAACAGTTCGTCAAACTTGTCGCGGATTTCATCACAGCACCGTGGCCAGGTGGGATATCTGGGATCTGACTAGGTTGTCGATCGATGCTCAAAGTCTCGCTTGTTGTCGATTCATGGACCATAAACTCTGGACAGATCGACGATTCTAAAATTGGATTCCTCCGATCCACCTATCTTTCCTCCTCCCGCAAGAGCGTCTTTGTGGCCGCCAAGTAGGAGTCCATGTACCCCTTTCGTCGTTCTTCCGTCAACACATGATTAAGTTAAAAAAGTGTCAACAATATTTTTGGTTATATGTAGCATTGTGCGTGAATTTCGTTTGGCACTTGATTGTTTAAATGTATTTAAATTAATAATAACTTAATAAAGAAAGTTAAAATAGTTTAAGTAAGTTATTAAACTCTAATTAAGCCTATTAAATATGGACATTGATTAAGTGTTACCAAAAATTATTATAGCATCGATGAAGTATGTTGTCTTTCATTTGGAGGCACAAGTTCAATTATTGATAAGGGAGAAAGTTTTTCTAATAAGAAGAATAAAACGGAAAAAGTACGAAAGCCGATGCTTCGGGTTAGCCGAATGAACCGATCAGTCTAGTGTGGCTATAATAAGATTGAAAAATATGATATCCATTTTTAAACGTTACTAAATAGTAATGGTAGAATTAAAGTTTATAAAAAATGAGTTAGTCTAATTGGTGTGAAATCAGTGTTTTAAATTTAAGGTGGTTGGTTCAATCCACCTTAGTGTAAGTTTTTTAGTTTTCTATTACTCAACAATATACTATTTCTAATACATTAGTAATCTTAACATGTTATTTCTGATGACCATTGGTTTGGTCATAAGAACTTATATATGATAATATTATCTCCCACAAATGTATACTTCTCGTCAAAAATACTATGGTGATTATGACGATTCCGGTAATGCATTGCAACGTACATTTATTATGACCAAATTTTTAGACGACCAGTAATTGATGGTTGAAAAATGTAGAGTTTTTCTGATGGAGCAAGATATTCCTCGTAAATAATATAATCTCCAATGAAACATTTCTGACAATGGAGATGGTTCGTCAAAAATACTATGGTGATTATGACGATTCCGGTAATGCATTGCAACGTACATTTATTATGACCAAAATTTTCGACGACCAGTAATTGATGGTTGAAAAATGTAGAGTTTTTCTGATGGAGCAAGATATTCCTCATAAATAATATAATTTCCAATGAAACATTTCTGACAATGGAGATGGTTCGTAAAAAAACTCGAGTATTCCCACGACCTTTTTTGGGGGGTTGAAAAAAGCATATATTAATGACGCCATTTTTCACTTTGTCAGTAATAATAATTATTTTCAACGCTATAGCAGGCTTCGTCACAAATAGGTACTCACGATTCCTCAAATTTGCCTAAATTATTATTTTCAACGGGTTTTCTAATAATTTATGACCCAAAAAATTTATTGTCATAAATAATAATTTTTCGTCCAACAAAATGTCTATTTCGTTGAAAATAATACTTATTTCTCATGAAAAAATAGTGTCGTCGGTAGGTTTTCGTCACAACTGTCTGTCTTTTTGTAGTGGGGCAGGATCACTAGATGATCGAAAAAGCACAACGGGGTACATATTCTGGCTGGGTTCAAAGAAGCAGAAGACTGTGGCATTATTTTCAGCGGAAGTAGAATATATCGCAGCTACAGATGCAACATGCGAAGTGGTATGGCTAAAAAGATTAATTTCTGACTTGCAGCAAAATGAAAATGGTCCAACCATTATTCATTGTGATAACATGTCCTCCATAGCCATGACAAAAAATTCGGTATTTCATGCAAGGTCAAAGAATATCGAGTTGCGTCATCATTTCATCCGAGACCTCGTCAACGAAGAATTAATCATGATGAAATTTATCAACACCAATGATCAGCCAGGAGATATCATGACAAAGGCGGTCACCCGCAGCGGCGGATCCAGGATAGGGTAGAGCACTGGGCCACATTTGAAAAGAGATAGAAAGGACTGGGTCGTTATCCGACGAGAACGTAAAGGACTGTTGCAGAAAGCAAGTCCTGAAGAACTGAAAATAATGAAGACCATGTTCTGCAGCGAGGCACAGAGTGCTGAATGGAATGTGGCATTCAAGACATTGATGGAACAGCAGTTGCCGAAATGAAGATAGTAGGATCATAACAGAAAAGAAGAAGCAGGAGGATTAATGGAGTTTTAGGACCCTGGTTCACAACCAACCCACAATTCTTTCTTGATTCTTCAGTGTAGCATCCCAATTCATTAGGTAAAATTGGATTTAGGCCTCAATTCTTTTTCATAGAAGGAAAAAAAAAAGCAAAACCCTAGCTTGCTTGGGCAGACACAGATTGAATTGGCAACTACTAAGGAGTGGGTGCACAGGTTGTTTTTGTAGGATGATGCTCCAACTCAATAACCCAGCCTTTGTTTGCTGTTCTGCCATTTTAACCCACCATAGCCATTGTAAAACATTCAGGGATTGTCCATTGCTAATGAAATTAGAGTTTCAGTTTCATTACCAGTTCAATTTCCCCCATTCACAGAAGACACAGACATTACTTTCTAAACTCCTTGCTTCTAATTGCGAACTTCAGAAGGAAAATGAAACCATGAATGGAAATGCAAGTGGACAGGTCAAAGAGAACTAGTAGCAACTAGAAAGCTGTCATCTTTTACTGATACGAAGTCTTCCTCCGAATGATTTCAGTACATTGGGTTACACCGTAATCGACATACCAGCCAGAGTCAATCTAATATGGTATCCCACTATTTGCCTCTCCCATAGAAATCTAAACTGTAAACTGATGAAAATCTGTCTGAAATCTACACTGTGAACTGATGAAATCAGTCTGTCAACGGATTAGGTGAACCATCAACACGGTAAGGAACAGAGGATCTGTAATTCTGTTTTGCGCACTAAAGAGCAGGGTAAAAAATGATTCAGCCCATGAAATCACGCCAGAAAAGCGTAAAGAATGACCAAGAAGATACCCCAAACCACGGCGCGTAAGCACTCTGCTCCCGATTCTGCCTCAGGATGAGTCCCGTTTACTTCGCCGGCGGCGGGGACGAACAGCGCCGGTGGCGATTTCCCCAATACCTGAAGCGGCGCCTGCATCTGCTGCGGCTGCGGCTGGTCGGAGTTTCCCTGGAGGGGACCATCGCCGTAGATGGAGTAGTCCATGAGATTGGCGATGCCGTGGACGACGACGGCAGGGGAAGTGAACAAATCAGGGTGGGAGAGGAGGGCGCCGTCGAGGGTGAAATTGGCGGCGGAATTGTTGGTGATGAGGATCGTTTTGGGGACGAGCATAGTTGGGAGGCGGGAGAGCGGCTTGAACTGGCGGAGATCGGCGAAGGCGAGTCGCTGGGGGACGATGTGATAAGGAAAGACGAGCGGGTCGCTGAATGCTGCGTCGCCGGAGGCGGTTACGAGGGAATCGTCCGCGGGGATGAAGAAAGTGGCGGAGATAGGGAAGTAGGTCGGTGTGTTAATCGACAGGATGTTCGCCCAGCTGTTGAAGTCTCCGGCGCCGATCAGTGCGCCGATGATGTTCCTGATTTGCTCTTGGCGGGAGGCGGCGGAGTTCGGCGGCGGCGCCGCCAGCGAGGATTGTGGCGGTGGAGGAAAAGCCGCGGATGCGGTGGAGTTGCGATTGCGAGGGTGGTGGTGGGGGCGAGGGTGGATGTGGTGAGAATGAGAGTGGTTGCGACGGCCGGATGGAGCGGCGGCGACAACGGCGGTGAGGAGCAGGAGGAAGAGCACTGGGAGGCTGAGCTTAGCCATGGTAGAGAGAAAGAGAGGGGAAATGGATTTTCTTGGATGGGAATTTCAGAGTTCTTTGTGGGGGCGGCGTCTTGAGTCTGTGAGGAAGAAATAACAAACTCTCTACTCTTGCCGCCAAAACTCGAGTGAGAACTGAGAAGAAGAAGACGACGGGTTTTTTCTGTATATATGATATATGTCCAGGGGTAATAATGGAATTAATGAGTAGTTTGGGAATTTCTGGGGCGAAGACGGTTACTTACGTAAATTACTGACCTACCTCTCCCAGACTAGCCCACGAACTCGATCTCCCAAAAGCCCAGATTAGCTCTTCGTCATTGGGCCCGCCCAAAATCTGGATGAGTCCATGGATTATAGTCCGACGTTATAACTTCAAATAACTGGTGTTATTATGCACTGTTCTAATTGAAGTGCAGGAGAAGACTTGGGAAAGAAGAAAAGCTGGTTTCACGGCAACTTGCACTAAAGATTATCAGCTATGGTACTGCGAGTCACCTCAGGAAAGAAACCTCTTATAAAGAATCATCTCGTCCAAGTGCTTGTGTCATCTCCTTGCGTATAACTGTATAAGTAATAGACTTGGAAAGGTGAACAAATTTTTATCTATAGTTGATGCAGTAATCAATAATCCAATTGAACTTTATATATCCAGGGTTTATCATGTCATGTCATTATCGGTTTGATTTGACTAGATCGTCGTAAAAAAACAAGTTTTACACACTGTAAAAATAAGGCATTGATCCGAAGATATATATATCCAGCAAGTTACAAGTATATAATTTACACACAGCGAATTGGAAATGGGAACCCATCCCTCTAGCAGGGATCAGGTGTCGAGAATGAGAAAAATCGTTATGTGAGATCATTCTCGTCCAGGCCTTCTCCCTCTTCAGTCCCAGCTTTTACTGCGGTAACTTCACCAGTGGGTAGCTTTCTTCCCAGCTTGATGATCTACAAGCTCACACGTACAATATGCCAAAAAAAGATAAGTCAAAATCAGACTGAACCATCACAGTGTGGTGAATGGTAAAAACCTACATCTCTGCAAGGTCTCGAAGTAAAATGATAGGATAGAGGAACTCACAGCATGGTCAAGATGAGAAATGGTGCTAGACTGAGCCAGACGTTTAATTTCTTCAACATCGCCTTCCGAATAAGCTGAGATAAGCCTGCTACCACATCGACCCTGGTCACTTCCCAAAAACGCAGAAATCCTGGACGCGAAAGAGAACATACAAAAAAAAACAGGGATTAACCAACGAGGAGCACTTTCCAATTGAAGAGTGGATGCATGATGATGACGACTTGAAAAAAAGTTAATACTTACTGTGAGCAGTCATTATAGCATTTCTCTGCTGCCTTGACATCATGAGCATAAAGGTACACAATAATGGCACCAAGGTATGCCTGCAAATTTGATGATGTGTTCGATTAAGAGGTAAGATTATCATTACAGAAAAAATGTGGGGTGGCTTTTGGAATCAGGTTGGGCAAAAACTTGAGGACGCAAGACCTTGAACTGGCTGTTAGTAGCACTGGATTTGTCAGCTGCAAGACCCAGTCTCAACAAGGCAGCTGCAGCATCTGTGTACCTGAAAGCATTAACTACATGAATCATCTCTTCAGCTATTGAAATTTCAACTTCAACCAGAAGCAAGGCAGGCAATAACAACAATCTGAATTTGCTAATGTAAAGTATTGTTGCCTGGAGAGTAGAATGCTTGTAGAATCATAAGAGCTCAGGAACATCACATGCCACTAATTACTAGGCTATAATGAAAAGTATTGAGACCAAGTCTGGCGATCATTACTAACTTCCAAAACACGCACTATGTATAAACAATTAAACATGATCCCTTATGGCCTGCAGCCACTCACCAGGTCAATTTGTACAGTGTTACTCTAAACGAAGTAATAAACCAGGTTGTATACTCAGCCTATTGCGTGCCATAAGATTCAAACAGGCAATCACTCATGTAGAAGAAGATTGTTCAGGGACTAAGCAGGTCTGCCAAACAAATAATAATACAACACAACCAACAGAAAAAACACCCAAGCAATTTGCATTTTCACAGTTAAATTTTTTACAACAGACCAAGAACATCAAGTAGATAGATATATACTAGATAATGCCAACAAAGGCAACAATATCTGACAATACTGGTTAAAGTTGATCAAACTTCTCACGGAATGTAGTAAACAAAGGATGTCAATCAGATGCGGAAATGGATGGCTGCATACATGTACCATAAAAATAACAGCGTCAACTAAAAAAGTATAAATAAAATAACAACAGGAAACAACAGATGGAACAAGTGCAGATTCTCAAATTCATCTCTGAAGGTGAGAGCATTTGTATCTGGATCAAGGAAATGAAACATTGCTGGATTAAGACAGTTGCGGAATGATAGTTCTTAGTTCTTACTTCTCAAGCTTTATGTAGACGGCAGTTAGAGCACGGTAAAGATCAAAGGCCATTTGGTCCTTGTCATCCTCCTCCAGAAGTGAAATAGCATCAGTATACAGCTGAACAGCAACATCAGGCAGATGATCTTCCACGGCACTGAGATAAATAGACAAATAGCACACATACCAATTTACTTATAAGTACTCAACTTCCTTTTTAGTCAAAAAGTGAGTCTCACCCATTAAAGACCGTAGCTTCACTAAACAGCTTATCATCTAAACGCGTCTTAACCCTCCTCCCCCCAACCAACATCTTGCAGTCTATAACTGAATCTCAAGAAACACCTCCACTATATTTTGTTCTTATAAAGCAGAACACAACTAAACATATATGAAGCAATGAACTTCGTGCAGAACCTACATAGACCTCTTATTGTACTTGACTTTCCCTAGCATATGAAACTAAGGGCCAAATTGAAGATACACAAAGCATAAAAACAAAAGAGGAAACCTAGAATTACACAAAGAATGCACCAATGAAGTAGAGTTTGAGCTTACCGAGCTGCCTTCCCCAGTGCATCAGATGCAGGTTGCGCCCTCCCACATTCAACGTACAACTCGGACGCCCGTCTGTACAAGTCAGCTACCTCATTCCAGTTACCTATCTCCTTAGCTAGAGCAGCAGCAGATTCCATGTGCTTAGCAGCGTCCCAGGGACTGCATTTCAAGTGAAGGACAAACCAAAACAAGAAGGTACCTACATCTAGCATGTTCAATCAGATACCAAAAGTATTCTTCAGCACGACTAAGAAACTCAAGCAAGCAAAAAAAGGATACGAGGAAAGCATCTCTTGCCCTTTGGAAGCCTGTTCGAATGCATCTTTCGCCTTTCCATACTTCTTGGCCACTCTATATGCATTGGCTGTAGGAGAACAATCAATTCATTAGCAACGCAATTCTCATATCATACCACCAACGAAATCCCTTTATTTTTCAACAAATTGTTCAACAGCGGATCAATTAGCAGGGGCATTATGCAGCAAGAAAGCTCGTAAAGAGACGGCAGCAGCAGCAGCGATCACTAACCGGCTTGCTCGTAGTTAAGAGTGGCGTTTCTCCAATCAGCACTCCACCTTGTAAGGGTCAGCTTTGTTCTGGTTAAAATAACAAAATTACCAACAATCAGACACCATAATCACTAGGAGCGGAAATCTGAAACTGAATGTCGATAAATTTCAAAACTGCCGCTGGAATTTGCTTCAGTTGCCTACTGCTAAAGCGGGCAATTAGAATGAAGTAAGTAGCAGGAATAGGTTTCCTCCCTAGCTAATGAGAATCGCGAAAAGCTCGAATCCATTCGCAAATGTGTATAAGATTCTAATCGATGATCCGAATGCTCGAGGATCAGTAGCGATACAGCAGATTGGATCCCAGAACATACAGAGTCAGAGAGAGAGGAGGCTCACAGCTTATCGGCCTTAGCAACGAGCTTATCGGGATCGGAAGACATTTGGTATGTCGGAACGGACTTCTGGGCTGGAGTACAAAAAGAACGTGGAATCGAAGTAACCCGGGCGGGGGTCTCCGTAAGTCCGTCACTGCAATGAACTGATTTTCACAACAACAACAACAACAAAAAAACACCGAAGCAAATCTGAAAAAGCAGAAAGGTGAAAGAACTTATAATTACGTTTTAATCCCCATAAAATTTCAAAACGTTATAAGGTCCGGTTCGATTAAATTGGCCTGAGTTGATCTGGTCTCGGTTCAGTATTGTTCGGAATATAAGTACCAAAGATTTGATTGGATACAGTCAGATCTTGACCAATTTCGGTCCCAATTCGGTCTTGATTTTAGATTGAACTTGTGGACATTTGAGTGGCATGAGACCTCAAATGGTGAGAAGTTGGTTACGTTTGAGTGTTGGGCTCTCTTATCCGGTCTTTATTTAATTTTTGATCTGGTCCCGAACGGTTTTTGTACCTCAAATCTAAACCCGAAGATGGGATTGGATTGTTTGCTATCTGGTCCTGGTCCGGTCTCTACAATCCGGGTTCGGGTAAAACCAAAAAGCCCGCACCAAAATCGCTACCCGTTATTTGAACCCGTAACGACTATGCAACCTAGAAAAGTCTTCAACTCCAGTGAACAATGTTCGTCGGTTATCAGTTCTAATCGATAATCAAATTGATAATGATGATTAGTAATTAATTTATAATTGATTCAGTTTTCTGCTATATTTTGCTTAGTGGTTAACTGCTAACCGATAACAAAATCAATAACCGTCTATAGTACAATCACATAGTTTTAGAGTTTTGCTAAGGGGAAAAGTCTCAAAATTCAAAATCAACCAAAATTGCAATTCCAAACACCCAATTCACATCTATTTCAAATAACTCTCCACCCAAAGTCTCAAACATGTAAGAGTCAGAACCCCGAAAAGTCACCTCTCTTTGACTCTCATTTGTAGTCGGCAAAGCAAACCTCACACTCTAGTAGTTTTTGTTTTGTTGATGTTTTGTGAATGTTAATGATTGATCTTGTGATGCTTGTGTTTGATGTCTTTCTAGTTGTTACTCGCTAATTGGAATTGTAGTTAACAATATAGAATTGTAGTTATATTGTTTCGAATGATTTATATGGTTATATTTTAGGATAAATACAATATAATAGCGAAACATTTCATTTTAAACAATATAATAACCAAATTTTTTTGAAAATAAATTAATAGCCAAACCATCAACTTTCCGTCCGGTCAACTGTTAGTTGACTCTGACGTGACAGAGTGCTACGTGAGCTGGATAGTTTTTGTTGATGTGGCTTAAGCTCAAACATTTTAATATGCCACATAGATATTACCATTTTTTAACAATTTGATTTTTATTTATAAAATTAGAAAAGCAAAATAAAAAAATAAAAAATGGAGCTTATCCATTCGACTCTCTCTCTCTATTCTAATCTGTACATTCGACTCCCTCTCTCTACTCGAATTCCTCTCCGGCCTGCCGGCAGTATTGGAATCTTCATAGTGTCGACCATTCTCCCATAATTAAGGGGTCGTTTGGAAACTGCGTATGTTAAATCGTTGTATTGTGAAGAATCATTGCAATATATAATACATATATTGATACAATCGTTGCATTTAACATTACATTATTTGGTTGTTGAGTTTATAGGTTAGTGATTAACTTATATAAAATAACTTTTTGGTGGAAATATCACATTTACCCTTTATTTTAACATACAACATATAACTCTTTTCCTCCTTTACTAAGGATATAAATGAAAATAAAAAGGAGATATAAACCTAAAAGTAACAATCACAACAATCTCAACTTTTAGTTGAGATTGTATAATACCTCATTTTTTGTGATTGTAGATGGGACCCACACATAACAATACATGCATTGTTTTGCACTTTGACAATTCCAAACGTTGTATTGTTGACAATTCTTGTATTCTATAAATACAACACTCACAATCGCAACTTCCAAACGACCCCTAAATAAATTATCACCTCCCATATTACCTTCACCAACAGATTCAATCTCTTAGCCTGATAAAAAAAAAACCTCATAGCAATGAATCAAACACATAAACCATGCTTTCCTCTTCGTCCTCAAATTCCCCAAACTCCGAGAACCCAACAGCATGATTCACTCATACCTAGAAGAAAAATCGCTACACGTACTCCTCTGCCGCAGCAGAAGGCAACCTTGCCTCCGCCGTCGAATTCTCCAACTAGCCAGAGCAGTTGAGGAAGTGCCTGACGGTGAACTCCCCGAGGAACATGTCGACTTCATCCCCCGCTTCGACTAGAGGGTTTTCGGAAACCAGGGGAGCTCCTAGTCCTCCCAAACTCTCAACCGCCACCTTCCTTCACCGTCGTTCTTTGTGGGTTATGTTTAGGCGATAGATCTGGATAGAGAAAGAGTCGCATCTCCTTTAGAGGGCAACGATTACCTGGAGAAGCCAACTCTCTCTCTCTCTCTCTCTCTCTCGCGCTGGGCTTCCTATTCGATGGGAAGTTTCTCCCCAAACAACAAAGCTGGGCCAGCTGGGCGATGATTTATGTATTGGGATTCGTCATTGTTGTTCACAATCCCGTCGGCAGTTATTTGTGTTTTGGGATTCATCAAGGTTGTTTCGATTTGGATTTGTAAGATTATAGGGTTCTTCGATTGGGATTAGGGTTTGGGATTGAGACTGAGATTGAGATTGGGATTCTGGGATTGGGATTAGTCGACTTTGGTGGATGCAATTTGGTGGTTCCCATCTCTGCAATAGGGCGGTGGCAAGAAGACTGGTGTCGGCGGTGGCAATCTGAATTTCATTGGTTTGTATTTTGTTTTATGAGTTGAAAGAAAGAAGACGATGAACAATTTCGCTATGGTGCATATAGTTCAAAAGGATCACCCACTTAAAAATGAGTGGCCAGGAAGCAATGGTTGGAGCAAAAGGATCATCAACTATCTGTCATTGAAGAGAAGAAGAAAAATTCCAAAGCTTTCTTTCAAATATCTTCTCTTTTTTTCTTTAAACTTCTTCTCTCACAATCTTCTTCTACATCTTTTTTTCTCTCCACAATCTGCCATTGGAGTTGAAATGACGAGAGTTAGGTTTACTAAGCATGTTCAATATTTGGATAAATATGAATTGTACTTGTACAAATTGAAATAGTAGGTATTCTTAGTTTATATATATTGAAATAGGTATTCTTGTGTTGACATCTTCACATTGATGACTTTAATCTGTATAAAATGACTCATTTGTAGTGAATATGAGTTGAAAATGGTTTTGAATTGAGTTTACACTAGTACTGGTTTCTGAACGATGAATACTAGTTTCTATTAATGATGAATATTACTTAAAACATACAAAATACTAGTTCGAATAAGAAACTAGTATTATTACACAATGATGAATATTAGTTCGAATAGAATGATGAATAATGTTGGGCTTAAACATGAAACATTGTTACGCAATCTATTATTGAAAAGCATATGAACTATTGAAAAACATATGAACTACTATTCAAAACATATCAACAAGTATTCGACAGATAGACGAACAAATACTCCAGACACAAATGAATATTACTAACGGACAAAACGAAAAAGGATCTTTATGTACTTTGTTTACTGTTAATAATAGTGTTGAATACTAGTTTACATAGTACACTATATGCGTTGACATTTATACGAATATGATTTGAACTAGTATCGAAGATGAGAATTTGAATAATTTTCAGTTAACACCAAAATTTGAGAATACCTGTTGGAACTCATTCAATACTCTTCTTTTATGTTTCAACTTTTACCTCATATGGGTATGCCACCTATTAGATATTTGTAAATGCATGTTCTAAGTTTAGTTCAACTCATATTCACTACCAAGTAAACTCAATTTGACGTGAGCTAAACTGATAGAAACCTAAAATTAGGTTCTATCGGATCTAGGGATTAGTGAGAGGGATGGGATCACCAAGGTGGTGATTAGGGTTGATTTGGGGGAAAGGGGAATTGGGAATTGGAATTGAAGGGAGGTGGGGAAAAGAAGCTGTTGGCGCAGCAGTGAGGGGAGGAAGAAGAAGGTGGCTGCTCGGCAGCCTTTGGGAAAGAGGGAGAGGAGTCGGCAGAGGGGATTAGGGAAGAGAGAGGGAGAGTAGTAGGTTTTAGGTTTAAATCTTGCTTAATGAATAATTCCCACTTACAAGTAGTTTATATAAAAGAATAGAAATTCTCTATCGCTACCCAAATTATCAAATAACTCCCAATAAATCCTCAAGAACAATAAACCGACAAAAGTAATCCGAATAAACAAAATTAGGAAATTGCGGGTTTCTATCATCCCCGCCTCCTTGAAAACAACCTTGTCCTCAAGGTTGACTGGGACTCACTGCTTCTCGTCCTCGGCCTCCCTAGCCTCGTCCTCTGCTTCATCTTCCCAACGTCCCACCAACATCATCACATCAGGCCTCGCACACTGGTGACCGAAAGTCATTGCAGTTGAAGCACTTGCCCTCTCGGCGCTTTTGTTCAATCTCTGCGGGTGTCAGCCTGACGAAGCCCTTTGGCGGAGCACGAGGACCTGGTCTTGGCCCTGGCGCCGCCGATGGTGGAGGCGGATCTCCTCCTGCAGCTCCTGTCCTTGCTCCTGCGGCGGTGCTACCACCCCCACTGCCCCCTGGGTTGTTGCTCCCTCCTCCGCTCGGCCTCGGGTAACGGCCGATGACGCTCCTCCAGCTTGCCAGTTCTTCCTCCTTGTGCCCTGCATAACGGAAAGCAGTCCTTACCGAGTCGGGTTCAAACACCCGGACAGCTGCCGCGATCTCCGGCTTTAGGCCAGCCAACAATAGGCCCACCAGTGTCTCTTCCGGAACCCCCTTGCACTGATTCCCCAGCTTGAGAAACTCGGATCGATACTCCGCCACTGTCCCCGTCTGCCTCAACTTAGCTAGCTGCTCGGGGGCCCATCCCTCAGATTTGCCGAACTGGTAGCGGAGTTCCTCTTGGAACATTGGCCATGTGATCAAAGTCCCCGTAGCCGCGTACGACCTCTCCAACCACTCCCACCAATGCAGCGCGTCTCCTTCCAGATAGAAAGACGCCAGTTGCGCCTTTTGCTCCTCCCAAGTCGGGTGGTTCTTGAACCACCTATCAGCTGCATACAACCACAACCCTGCATCCTCTTGCCCATTGAATTTTGGGAATTCAATGGTTGGAGGCTTAGCTCTGAAAACCAAGTCATCATCCACATCATTAAAGCGGTCATACCCAGCATACCTTCCCCCATGCAGATTTCTCGGCCCTCGATCCCTGAATTCCGCGCCCTCCTCGCCTCGGGGTGGACCTTCATACCAGCCCCTCGAGTCAGGGGTGACTTGCCTTGGTCCGCCCGGTCCTCTGCGCGTCGGTTGAAAGGCTCCTGCCTCACTGAACGAACCTCGCCCGCCCCCAGGGAACTCCGGATGATGCCTGCTCTGCCATTGGTGACCCCTGCCCGGTTCGGAGCGGTTTGGACCGGTTAGACCGGTTTGGTTTGGACCGGTTGGACCTGTTCGGTTCGGACCGGTTGGACCGCTTCTGGTCCACCCGCCCAGCCTGATGTGACCCGAACCCGCACTGGTCGATCGCCCACCTTGGGTCTGACCCGTCTGCCCTCTGGTTGGGTTCGGCCCACATCTCTGGCCGACCCGCCAAGCTCAGCTCCTCTTCTTCTGGGCTCAACCATCCTAGCCCGTTAGGGCCCCAGGCCCGACTTCCCTCTTCTTCCTGATTCAGTGGGCCCACATAGTCATAACCCGACATTTTGGCCTTGCCCTTCCGGGCCGCCCTTTCCTGGTCCGTCGGGGTTGGGAGTAGGCCCGCCTCCTTGTTGGGCCCCAGGTGCACTTGGCCCGCACGCACGATCTCCCGCCCTAGCCCGGTGGCCGAGACGGCCGACCCGCCCGCTCCTGGAACCACCACCGCCGCCGCCTTTGCGGCCCCTACTGCCACCGGTTGATTGGCCGCCGCCGCCGTTTCTCCCGCCACCCCGGCCGCGATCAACCCTCCTCCTTCCTCCTGCTCGAGATCGATCAGGGTCTCGATTCCCGGCGGTTTTCCTTGTCTCTCCTCTGCATCCCGCGTCAGTTTGCTTAGGGCTCGCCGGATTTCATCCATCTCTTTGCGACGTCGCTCCTCCGCTATCTCCCGCTCCACCATCAGTCTCTTCACAGTAATCTGGAGTTCGCCCACGGCGATCTGGATTTCCTCCAGTCCGGTCTCGTCTACCACCCTGACTGTCTCCCCCGCCCTAGCTGCCGCCGTAGCCGCCGCAGCAGCCGCCGGGCCGCCTTCATCACCGCTGCCTCGGGCCGTCACCGCGGTGGTCGCGGTCTCCTTCTCCCGGGCCGCCTCCTCGGCGGCTTTCTCCGCAGCCTTCTGAGATTTCATCACCGCCATAGCGCGATCTTGTTCTTGGTTGATTTGCCTTGATCAGAACGTGGCTCTGATACTAGATGATAGAAACCTAAAATTAGGTTCTATCAGATTTAGGGATTAGTGAGAGGGATGGGATCACCAAGGTGGTGATTAAGGTTGATTTGGGGGAAAGGGGAATTGGGAATTGGAATTGAAGGGAGGCGGGGAAAAGAAGCTGCTGGCGCAGCAGTGAGGGGAGGAAGAAGAAGGTGGCTGCTCGGCAGCCTTTGGGAAAGAGGGAGAGGAGTCGGCAGAGGGGATTAGGGAAGAGAGAGGGAGAGTAGTAGGTTTTAGGTTTAATTCTTGCTTAATGAATAATTCCCACTTACAAGTAGTTTATATAAAAGAATAGAAATTCTCTATCGCTACCCAAATTATCAAATAACTCCCAATAAATCCTCAAGAACAATAAACCGACAAAAGTAATCCGAATAAACAAAATTAGGAAATTACGGGTTTCTATCATAAACTCATATTAATCATCAATTTAAGTCATATTCAAAACCATGTAAACTTAAACTCATTGACTATTCAACTTATATTCAATAATAGGTGAAGTCATATTCTTGTCAATTTAAATCATATTCGATACCATGTAAATTTAAATTCAGTGACATATGAGGGCTTTGTGTGCACATACACACAAAAAAGGCTATGTGCACCATAGCGAAATTGGCGGACAATTTAAACATGAAACATTGTTACGCAAACTATTATTGAAAAACATATGAACTATTGAAAAGCATATGAACTATTATTCAAAACATATCAACAAGTATTCGACAGATAGACGAACAAATACTCCAGACACAAACGAATATTACTAATGACAAAATGAAAAAGGATCTTTATGTACTTTGTTTACTATTAGTAATAGTGTTGAATACTGGTTTACATAGTACACAATATGCGTTGACATTTATATGAATGTGAGTTGAACTAGTATCGAAGATGAGAATTTGAATAATTTTCAGTTAACACTAAATATGAGAATACCTGTTGGAACTCATTCAATACTCTTCTTTTATGTTTCAACTTTTAACTAATATGGGTATGCCACCTATTAGATATTTGTAAATGCATGTTCTGAGTTTAGTTCAACTCATATTCACTACCAAGTAAACTCAATTTGATGTGAGCTAAACTCATATTAATTATCAATTTAAGTCATATTCAAAACCATGTAAACTTAAACTCATTGGCTATTCAACTTATATTCAATAATAGGTGAAGTCATATTCTTGTCAATTTAAATCATATTCGATACCATGTAAACTTAAATTCAGTGACAAATTCAACTCATATTGAATACTAGTTCACTCATATTCATTGTCATTTAGGTAATATTCAGTACCGTGCAAACTTAAATTTAGTGACTGTCCAACTCATATTCAAGCAGCACAAGACCAACCACAAGTTCCAACAAACGGGCAGGGCTAGGTCCAAACTTATTCAAACAACCCAGCGTGGCGGGGAAGATTTTCCGTGACGTGGAGCGGGTACGGGACAGGTGCATCGGATGAGGATCTGGTGGTGGAGGTGATGCGTGGAGGAACCAGATCTAGGTTTTGGTGGACCTGTTTTGGAGGTCTCATGTGAACTGATTTGAAATTTTCTTCTACTCGTCATTGTAAACAGCCATTTGCTTCTCTGTGTCGAAATTTGTAACAACCATGTAAGCTGGTTAGATCGCTCAATGAGTTGAAGAATAAGAGAAATGGGAAGGATTTTTCAGAGAAAAATGATGAAGAGAGTGGGTGAAAAAAAAGCTGCTTTGCTATTTTTCTTCTTCTATTTGAAATCCAGATCTGGAAGCTCTGGTATTCTTCTTCTTTTTTTCAATGGCAGAATGTGAAGAGAGAAAAAAATATGAGGAAGAAGGTTGTGAGAGAAGAAGTTTCAAAGAAAAAAAGAGAAAAGAGATTTGAAAGAAAGAAGCTTTGGTATTCTTCTTCTCTTCAATGGCAGATTGTTGAGAGAGCGAGAAAAAAGATGAGGAAGAAGGTTGTGAGAAAAAGAGTTTCAGAGAAAAAAAGGAGAAGAGATTTGAAAGATAAAAAGAAAGTCGACAGGTTGAAGAAAGAGAAAAGGAGAGGGGGATTATTTTTAGAGTTTTATTTTTAATTTTTAATCTCTCATCTTGTGGACCCCACCCATCATTTAGCTTAGCCGACTTCATTTTGAGCCGCTCCCTCCCCTTCTTTCTCCCTTCCTCCAGCCGTTGCTTCCTTGTAGGGATGGCAACAAAACCCGAACCCACGGGTACCCACCCGACCCAATCCATTCAATGCGGGTAAAACCCGTGTTGACGTGTTTTGGATTGGGTTTGGGTTTAAACCTGCTACACTATTCATCGGGTCGGGTTTGGGTTTAGGTAAACTCGACCCATGGGTACCCGCCCACACACATATAATTACTTTTCCGGTATATTTAATATTCTAAATAACATATCTTCCTTAAACAATTAATATTCTTTATGTTTGTGGAGACTTGTATAATTTGTTCTTTCTAATTGTTTAGAATGAAGTTGATATTATGAAGTGGAGAGTGAAGAAACTTATTTGACGAGGAAGAAGCTTTCAATTAATCTTTTGTTTATAGATGTTTATCTTTAATTTTGAACAATTTGTATTGATCATTTGCGGTTTGCTTGTATGCTCTAGATTGGTGTTTTTTATATGATTAATTTGTATGAGAAAATTGACGTTAAACTTTTATTTTGAAAGAAACTTGTTATTGTAAATTTTTTACCAATAAAAACCCACGGGTACCCATGAACCCGCGGATACCCAGCAGGTTGGGTTGGGTTTGAGTTTTTGTTGGGTTTTACTCCGGGTTTTTTTTGGCGGATAAACCCATGGGTTTGGGTTTTGACAAAACCCGCCCCAACCCTACCCATTGCCATCCCTACTTCCTGGCCACTCATTTTTAAGTGGGTGGTCCTTTTGCTGAGGTGGACCAATGAGGGCTTTGTGTGCACTTACACACAAAAAAGGCTATGTGCACCGTAGCGAAATTGGACGATGAATGTGTTGTATAAGTGGAAGGAGATAAATGAAAAAAATTGTAATTGATTGTTTTTAATAAAGTCACATTTTTAAACATTTATTGCCACGTCAGTAAAAACATTCCATCTCAGCAAATAGTGCCACGCCAAGAGTCAATTATCAGTTGACCGGACGGAAAGTTGACAGTTTGATTATTAATAGGACGGAATGTTGACAGTTTGATTATTAATTTGTTTTCGAAAAGGTTTGATTATTATTTTGTTTAAAATGAAAAGTTTGACTATTATATTGTATTTACCCGATATTTTATTAGTAAAAATAACACTATAAAAAATTTCAAAAGACCAAAATAAAAATGACACGTGAAGTTTGCTATTATTTTTTGTAATATGTGAAGGTCATTAGTGGTCAATAGCCAAAATAACTATTAGCCCAATAAATAACAGGTGATTAATCAATAAGTCTTATCGATTCGATTTTCGATATGCATTTTTAATTTAGTGGTTAATCGAAACTGAAATTGAACCGTGATATGATTCAAATTGGCCACTTCTACAAGTCACAATTACTTGCCAAAGAAGCTATCAAGGTTGGAACAGTGTCAAGGTACATATTTCGGAGGCATGGTTCTCGCAATTGGCTTGGTGGAAATTCAGTTTTAAGGATTTGTTTTGCATATAAAGTTTCCATCTTTCCAATGGTATGCTTTATAAATCCAGATGATGTCATTAAGGTTGTTTTCCAAGGCCTCAAAGTTGCTACCTCAAAACTGGAAAACTGCCAGAAAATGGCTAAGGCAGAAAACTGTTTTGTGAAGCCTACTTTGGAGCTCAATTCAAGGACCATGGATGAGATTCATGTCAAAAGGCTTCCACAACGTGAAACTAGGTATGTCTGTGAACAAAGGGAAGGAATTGGATGAAGAATTGGAGTTTGGGAAGGCCTCGAACAAAAGGCGAGAAGTTAGTACAAAAGCTGCCTTTTGACTGTTTGTGTCCGAATTTTGTAACCTTTTTAGAGTAGAATTTTACCTTATTTGTTTCCTTGTTCATCTAGGTTTGTATTAGGTTTTCTTGGCTATAAATAGCCTCCATTTACGTTGTAAAAACATAAGACTTTGATTAATCGAAAAACAAACCCTTTGGTTTTGTGCAAGTTGCGACTTGTGTTTGAGTTTGGTGGATTCCAAACTTGTGAGCTTTGTATCGATTAAATATTCTCTTCAATCGTGGTCGAGCAACTACCCTTTTATACCATACGAGCTTTCCCCAGGTGTGGAATTGTCTGTTGGTTCCGTTTTATCCCAATTTCGTATTAAGAACGCTTCGTTCTTGATTCGAGCTCAATCGATTCTTCGAATGAGTCGTTTGCTGCGTTACTTTGATAACATACACCGCCCAGGGGCGTATTAAACCGATTAGCGCTCCTATTTCGTACTATGGTGACAAATCGAATCTGAAATGATTTTTTTTACCTAAATGTCATGGAGAAGGATTCTAAGTCCTGCAAAAATTATAAAAAAAAAAAGTGAGTAGGAATTCGATTAAATATATGAAAACGATGAAAACTAGAACCGAATGAAAGGTATGTTGCATATAATTGGATTTCAATCCCAGTCTGTTCGTTAATCGTTACATTGTTTTTCTGGAATCTCATGTGTTAGATAGATTGCAACTAAAAGTCTAAAACTAATCAACCATGGACACACGATCCTCACGACCACCGGATTTAGGTGTGGAGTAGTGCGTCCATAAATCTCATCCTTCCTTCATCTTCAACCCAACAGTTCTTCCCCAACCTTACACTTAATTCCCCCTTTCCCGCCCTATAAAATCAACCATCCCCTCCAATTAACAAATATCCCCCATATAAAAAAAAATGGTTCTTCCCTCCGCCGCAGCCACCGTGCTCCTCCTCCTCCTCCTCTGCCACCAATATCAAACATGCTCTGCCTCCCGACCTCAACCACAACCACTCCTCCCCACCATCAAACCCCAGCAGCAATACGGCGACGGAATCGACCCTATCGCCGCCAACCAGCCCACTTTCCCCCTGCCGGAAGGAGGCCCAACGCAGCTCCCTTTCGTCCCCATTACTCCTTATCCCCGTCTCCCAAATTTCCCTTCCTTTCAACGACCCGCTCTCCCTCAATTGCCGCTTCCACCGCCCCGCTCCAGCACCGCAGCCGGAGGTAATCCCAACAGCGGCGGCGGGGAGAGTGCCCCTGCTGCGGGTACAGGAGGAAATAACAATAATGACAACAGTATTGCCGCCGGCGGGAGAGTGGCGGCGGGACTGGGGTTCCCATATCAGAGCATGCCATCGTACATCCCAAAGTTCCCGCCTTTCCCTTTCATTCCAACCATGCCGACCATGCCTTCTGTTCCCCTGCCTCGGCTCCAACCCGATTCCGGCGGATTACCCACCGCCACTCCATCTTCATCCTCCTCCTCGACTTCTTCGTCATCATTGTCATCGCCGGCGTGTAATGATAAGGGCCAGCCGCAAACTGGTGGCAGCCACTCACAGCCAGGGCACTGAACTGTGCGGCTCAATGATCTACCACTCTGTTTTTGGCACCTCTCTGTTTCTTCGTCACCAATAATTTAAATCGTGTAACTAGGTCCAGGAATGAAGTTGAAGGAAAACAGAGCTCAATCAATAAAGAAAAATGCAGCAGATTTATTATGAACATTTCTTTTTTCCCTTAATGCTTAGCACAAAGGGTACATGTTTTCTTCATTATGTGGGGAATTTCATTAGCACAATCAAACAATGGAAAGAAACAAAACGAGATGAGTGATCCATCTTAAGTTGGAGCATAAATGGCAACCGATAAAATGAGATTTTAATTAACTAAATGAAACAACAAAGAATGAATGAGAGAGCAATCATATATAGTTGGTGCTCTTCTTCTTCTTCTTCTTCTTCTTCTTCTTCTTCTTGTGCTTATACGTCCTTATTCCTCGCTTATTAGGCTTAGATGTCTATATCAAATGGAGAGAGGGGGAGGCGAGGCGCCGCCATCGGAAGGAGGAAAAGGTAAGCCGCCGTCGTCGGAGGGAGGGGAAGGAGAGATGCCGCCGCCCAAGGGAGGGAAAGGCGGGAAATTGGGAAGGGGAGGGAGTTGGAATCCCGGTGGGAAGTTAGGGAGGGGAGGAAGCTGGAAACCAGGCATTGGAAAGTTGGGGAGAGGAGGAAACTGGAAACCAGGCCTCGGGAAATTTGGGAGTGGCGGCAGCTGGAACCCAGGTGGGAATGGGAATTGCGGGAACGGGAAGGCGCTTTGTGCCTCCGCTCCTGAATTGACAGCCTTGGATTCATGAAGCAATCGGCCGGCGTCCACTCCGACCAAGGCAATCAGCAGACCCAGCACATTGAAAGCTGTAACTTTTGTCATGTTGAAAGGAAAGGAAATGCTTTCTATTGTAAAAATAGATGTGAGAGATGGTGAAAATCAGTGGTAGCTATTGAGGTATATATAGCCCGAACGGGGAGTGAATTACTACGTATCTTCTTTGTTTGCGCGTTTGGATTGGTGCCATTAAAGCCCAAATCAGACTCTGAAAGGAAAACTATCAAGCACTTGATATGAGAGAAAATCATGAAATTGAACAGAAACATGCCCGGTTGCAACATGCTGAAGATCCTGTAAAAAGGGTAAGAGTTTGGTGGATCGCTAAACCACACGGATTGAAACGTGAGAAGTTTATGTGAGTTTGGAATCATATTTAACTGCTAACTTTCAATACACTTTTGGGGGACCAGTTACTATAAAAACACCCATTGTGTTGTTATTGTAACAACACTAGTCCCCAACCAATAGAAAGCTAGGATTGTGATGACATTTTATTAGATGAGTTGACCTAGTGTAAAATCAAAGCAGGGGTATAATTGTCATTATGAAAAATCTATTTAAATAAAAAATAAAAAAATATTTTTTTATTTTCTGCCCAAAAATTTGGTCGCCGGAATTCTGACACCGGTCGCCGGAAAATAGTCGCCGTTCACCGGAATATGCTTTTTTTCCGGAATATGCTATTTTGTGGCCAGAATATGCTTACCGGCGTCGGAATCTAGTCATCGGGGCCGGAATATGCCTATCGGCGTCGGAATCTACTCACTGACGCTCACCGGAGTTCGGTCAACGGTCTTCGTTGACCGGTCAACGATCAACGATCACTGGATGTTATGGTTAGCATTGTGAGATTTATGGTTTGGTTTCTCATATTTTTTTATGCCTTTTATGGTTTGCTTTATTTGTGGTTTGCATTGAGAAGTTTCTGGTTTGCTTTCAAAAACTTTGTGGTTTGCATTGTGAGGTTTCTAGTTTGTTTTAATATATTTGTGGTTTGCATTAGGAAGTTTATGGTTTGCTTTTTTGTGGTTTGATTTACTGTGTTTGTGGTTTGCATCATGAGGTTTCTGGTGTGCTTTCGCAAATGTTGTGGTTTGCATTGTGGGGTTTCTGGTTTGTTTTAGGGGATTTGTGGTCTGAATTAGAAGGTTTCTAGTTTGCATTAAGAAGTTTCTGGTGTGCTTTCGAAATTTTTGTGGTTTGCATTATGAGGTTTCTGGTGGGCTTTCGCAAATGTTGTGGTTTGTATTGTGGGGTTTCTGGTTTGTTTTAGGGGATTTGTGGTCTGAATTAGAAGGTTTCTAGTTTGCATTAAGAAGTTTCTGGTGTGCTTTCGAAACTTTTGTGGTTTGCTTTGTGAGGTTTGTTGTATGTTTTATGAGATTTGTGGTATGCATTAGGAGGTTTTTGGTTTGATTTTTGTGAGATATTTTATCGAATTTATGGTATGCATACCACTAATAAACCTCCAAATACACCTCTAATAATGCACCTCTAATAATGCAATTAACCCAAGCTTGAGCCCACAGAATGTTATGATTATGTTGCATTTTAGTTATCTTAAAGAGAAGTTTTGGTGCAGGCAGTATCTAAAAAGGAGCCGATCCGATTGCACTGAAAATGGGATCTGTTATTTTCTCCGATCCGTCCTTAAAAAGGAACACTTTCGCATTTCGTTGCTCTTATTAAATCCCTAATCCACAAAGAACACACCACTCTTCCAATCTCCACCATCCTCCTTTCTGCATTTTCCCCCAAACCGAAGACCACGATGTATAGAGAAGCGCGGCGATTTCTTCATCGGCCGCCGTCATATTATAATTGGATCATATATATAAGTGAATGGGCATTGAAAGGGACGACCGTCGGGGAGGGGAATAATAGTTAATGATCGACAAGCAAATTGAAGCCATGGGGGGAATATATTTCCTCTGTGTTCGCATGCCTCTCCGTCTACATCTGTCAGACAAAGCAAAGCGAGATAGAGAGAGAGAGGCATATCCAGATGAAAATGACACCATGCAGTGCATTCACCAAACCGTGTACTCGCTTTCCGCCGTATATCTTACCCACTAGTGAAAACGACGACCACCGTCTCAGCCCTACTCTCATCGCCGCCGTCCTATTTGCTCTCCGCGAAGCAAAATCGCAGGCCACCAGAGGCTCTGTCCTCATCACCACCTCCCAGGGCAAATTCTTCTCCAACAGATTCGATCTCGGCTGGGCGAGATCCGCCGCAACCCCATCCAAGGCCTTCTTGCGCGCTCCACCAAATGGTGGAATCGTTCCGGCCGATTGTCGCCGAGCTGATCTCCCTTCCGATGCCCACCGTCGCCGTCATCCAGGACCACGCCGCCGCCGTCGGATTCACCCTGGCGCCGAGCCACGATCATCGTCACCTCCATCGGCCTTTCTCCTTCTCTTCTATCTCGACCAGCGGAGACCGGATTCACAGCCGGCGACGATGATATATGGCGAGATTTTCGACGGGAGCGGCGACTGACAAAGGCTGGAAGCGGCGGAGTGATGATGGCGGTCGAGAAGTTAGGAGTGCGATGGCGGAGATGGGCGAGGATGGCGACTCAGCAGCGAAGGCGGAGTTCGGAATTCAGATGCTCCTTCTTGTCCATAATTATCTTTCTGTTAATTTAATATATTATTATCTAATAATTAATGGTATTTTACCCTTATACCCTTAATGAATCCTGTTGTTAGTATAACAACACTTATACTATCCGGACCCCACTTTTGGAAAGTCTTATTAACTTTTCCATCACTTGAACACATTCTCTACTAGCACAGGTGATAACGATGTAATTGCACATATTTGCGCCCCTAGTTCTTATCCGTTTGAGGGGCATAGTCGTGTATTTTTGGCCTATTTTACGCCGGGTTGTGCTACTTTGTCATATTTCAAGTCCCAGGCGTCAAAGGGAAGGCTAAGCACGAGTTTCGGGGCATTCGGAAGTCATTTCGTCGAGCTGGAGCAAAAACACGGGCACACCTAAAACAGAACACGGCCGTGTTCTGTGGCCGTGCTTTTACTGCCGAGAGCTAATTCGAGTTTGGCAAACATGAGCTGATTACACGGGCTGAAAACACGGCCGTGTCCACCCAAAGAACGGTCGTGTTCTCCCAAAAGCACGGCCGTGTTTGCACCAACACAATGGCCGTGTAATTAACCCTATCCAAAGCACGGGCGGGCTGAGGCAAAGCACGGCCGTGCCCTCGACCGTGCTTTGCCCAGTGATGCCCTTTTAAGCAGATTTCAGCCAAAACAGAAGGGGATTCGAGTTTTAGAAAGACAGAGCGATTCCTAGAGAGAGAAAGTGACGAACAAGAGTCTCCAAGTGCCCTAGCTTGATCTTCATCACCATTGGAGGCCAGCTTGAGCTTAGAGAAGTGCCGATCAACGTCCAGGAGCAGGAATCCATCCTTCACAGTATGAATTCCGCGTCTGATTCTGCTTTTGCTTCTTCCTCCATGGAGTAGCTCTCCCATTCATCTGGGTATGGAGAACCCTAGATTTGTATGTTAGGCTTTGATTGTATGAACCCAAGTACTGATTCTATGATTTGATTATATTCGATTGAGGTTTGAATGATTGAATGACTTGAATCCTGATCAAATTCCTGTTGTTTCTGCTTTAACCTAGAATGAGAATATCTGCCTAGGTTGATAGAGCATCCTTGATTGAAGGTAGGGAGTTGGTGACTTTAGTCGAGGAGCCAACTCACTATTCTGTACCGGATTTACTCCGGTAGTTGAGGTTTTGTTAGTTAAGGCCTCAATCTGTTTACTCCGGTGGAGGTTAGTCGCCCGCTAGAGACTCAGATTGAGAGGGTCTGAAGACCTTTAGTCGAGACTTCAGGCTGTTTAAGAACCTTCCGCAGTATAACTATCATAGAAACTGAACTTGGTAATTACAATCCGGCTTAACTGCAGTCTAGGGGGAACCATATCCGGGTGACCTCTCTTAACCTGAATACAACTGTTTACTTGCTTTGTTAGTTTGTTAGTTTAGACTTGCATTAAAGTTTCATTGCTAGATAACAAGAATTCACCGAGTAGTCATCAAATCTAGGACCCGGGTTGACATTTAAACCCAAACCCGCTATACTACGCTTTAGGAAGTGGTTTCACTTGGCTAATTCCTGGAGTGACAGTAGGAGCGAGTCAACAGGTCCCGGTCCATTGGCTGGAAAATTTTTGCCGAGTAATATGGTATATAATAATGGATATAACAGATGATTTAAAATGAATGAAATGATTGTTTTCTATATGCATATAACATTTTTGAAAGTTATCCAACTATGCATAATATGTATAGACCTCCATGAAAAGCGAAAAAATAATAAAATAAGCATTACATATAATTACTGAATGAAAAAAATAAATATAACTAATTATCATTCATTACTTAATTAAACCATATTGTTGAATATTAGAGTTGTTTCTCATAATACATAAATAATCAATACTTAGGATGAAAGAAAATGTCTCATAGAGTTTATTATGTCCTTTAAGTTTTCCCCAATAGAGAGCATTCATTTTTATCACACTGTTGGTAATGAATCCGAAGTTGCTTGATTTGAAATATATAGGACATGATGTTAAGTTGTCGCTAATAGTTAGTTGGACAATGTGTTGTGGACGCACGGACTTCCCAAATTATTCTCAGATCACCATGTCTATCAACAATTTAGTAATTTTCATACAACAAATATTTTTTTCATGAAATAATTCAATAAATAAAAACGTATGAAAATAATATTATATGAAATATATGTTACTCATTAAGTTGATGAATGAGCGAAGGTATGAGTAGCATACATTTATTTTAGAAAGATAGAAGTTGCAAAGTGTCTTTTGGGTTGCATGAGATTGCATATTCTCATTATCGCTAACTGAGTTATGCTTTTTTGTGATAGATAATTCAAAATGTGCCTTAAAACTTATGTTTCCACTAGTGTAAAAGAATTATTTGAACCAAAAGATTGTAAAATCATATCAGAAAAAGTTGCTAGTAAAGTATTTTATACTGAAGTCATTATTTAACTGTGGTTCAACCGTTTTATATTGCTAAATATCATCTATCGATTTAGCTTGTGATGTGAAGTTTATGTGTAGATTTGTCACAAAAAATGATTATACTCGTCACAAAGGTTCATGTTTTGGTTACACTTCAGTATTTTGTCAAAACTAAACAACAGATACACTTTAATATAAATGTTTGAATCAATAATACTTGAGTTTCGATTTCAAAAGTAATCTCTTACTATAAAACATAAATAAATTAAGATAAAATATAAATATAGAAGTATCATCACCAACCATATTCCTAGAGTTTAATCAATGAAATTAAAATAAATTAAATGTAGCCTAATTGGTTATAATGCTCTTTTTTCATTTAATTGACCCAGGTTCAAACTCTAATGATAATATGTTTAATATATAAACATGAACTGGGTGCAATGACAAAAATGACCTTCCTAGAATCACTCTCGGACCACGAAATTTGAAATGGGAGAATTTCAACCCATGTTTTGCCTTTATATATCTGGTAGATTTTCCATCCCAATGTTGGGAACAAAATCCAAGTAAATGTTATTTGAAATAATAAAATAAAGATTATCCAACGTAAAAAAAAGTTATGCTAATAAATTAAGGTCTAATAAAAATGAGATTAGGTGACGATTTATAGGAGTTGGGTAGCCTCCAAATGAAGGTCAGAATTTACTTTGTTTTCAGTGACATTGGTCAGAATTTACTTTAGTTTAACTGGATTGTGTTATATAGTGTTTATTTTGCAACAATTTCTAAAGTTTATCAAATGTGGTTGGATGTAAATACTTTAAATCAATATTATATATTGGGTCGTTAACGATTTTTGGGCCCAAGCCCATTAAGTTAGGTTCTTTGTTGATTGAGATTGCTCATTTGGGTAGGGCACACTATAATTACCATGTTCGGTTTGTTGGACGTGTTCGAAATAGGGCGGCTCACTTGGTAGCTTGGCATGTCTTATTATTATCGCCTCACTTGTTCTCGAGGTTCGACTTTGCTCGTTGGTTATGTATGCGTTAACTTTGTATATATTATTCCTCTTAATTGAGTGACTTATTGGCAAAAAAAAAAAAAAAACACACACACACGCATATAAAGAGGTTGTTCATGAAAGATGTTTAGTTCTAAATTTCGAGCCTTCTGAGTAATTTTAGAAAGGATATATGTGTCCTTTTAATTGATAAAAGCCAAACGGAGGACTTTTGTTAATTATATAAAAGGAAAACAAGATTTAGTAGGAAATAATTATGAAACCAATTATTATATTATAGGAAATATGCATTGTTTATTGAATTTTGGCCGAGGGTTATGACATGTGTATATAGGTTTGTTTGTTCATATGCTTTTTTTTTAGGTTTTGAGGTTTTTCATTATTCCTCTTTATTATAACTCAAATTATTTGTTGTCTACTAGAAGCCACGAATTGGATTAGAGTTAGCTCGTTATACTTCTCATACACACGTTGTGTTAGTGAACCACGTAAAGCTGTTATTTCTTTACTTTTTTGCTATCATTGTCTTTCTTACTGTTCTCCTTTAGTTACAGCTAACATAAATCTCAAGAACTAAAGTTAAGGGTTTTTCAATTTCTCATAAATTCAGTGAACTATATCTCATTCGTTTCAACTCTGATTTTAAAAATGTTGGATTAGAAAAGCCTTAGTAATTGAAATTTTCCAAAGAAAAGTTGAAGAATATTATGATGAGTAATTTTATAAGAATTATGCAACATCAAAGACAATAATAGTTAGGTAACAACCTACCTTTACTTTTTATTGTTTTTAGCTTCAAGTTCATGTATTCGAGAGAAAACAATGTACCCACTGAAACATAAAGTTTTGTGCCAAATAGTATATCTCAATTGTTGTAAATTTACAGATTCAAGATTAGATGCGAGTTATAGACAACATTGTTATAAATTGCGAAGGAGCTAAATATTTTGTAATATCTACTTCAAGGATAGTGACAAAATGAGAGAACATTCACCTCCTCATATCATACAAAACTTAGAGCATGAATTCAAATTTTCATATCAAGCTCATCTATTCCAACATCGCGAACCCCTTAAGTGAGTACACAGTTTTGAATATACCAAAGGATGAAAAAGAGCAATCTCAGACAAAATTTATGACATGTAAACGGTAATTTTAAGTTATTGAAAATGGAGTTTTCACCATTCTAAACATTTCTCCATTAAATTTTAGCATTTAGTGAAATGGAGGAGAAGAAGGAAGAGTATGCTAGTAGTGAATTCAGTGATGGATATAATGACATGATTGAGATAATGGAAGATATTATTGATTGTGGATATAGAAATTTTAATGATGGGAATAACGAATTTGATTATATTTATGATTTGGATTAGGTGAAATTCTACTATCATGTATAAATGTTTCACCATTTCAAACATTTTACCATTAAAATTTGGTTTTCCAATGAAATGAAGGAGAAGAAGTATGAGACTTAATGATGCATATAAAATTTCATTAATGAAGGTGAAGCTTAGAACCTGGAGGTCCCAGGTTCGAATCACTTAAGTAGTATCTTAATCACAAAAAAAAAAATGTAAACCTATATTATTCCTATCAAGAAAATTAATGAAGGTGAAGCTATTTAGAAAAGATGCTTTTGATGACGAAGCAATAAAAAAA